AATGTCAAGAATTTGTGGCTAATTTGTGGTTTTAATAAAACTGATTAAAAATACTAATTTTACCCAATATTAGTGGGATATAGATATATGTATAAACTTTTGAAAATAAAATTATAAGTACAAATATACATAAATAAATTAAGTATGAAAGTCTGCATTATAGTAAAAAAAAAAAGCTAGAAAAATCATTAACTTTGGCTGCACTGAAGTTATAATACTCTTCACAAATACCAAAGGTTTCTTACAAGAACTTAATTCCGATTGTTCAGTTTCTATATATGTACATACATATGTATATAGTGATCCRATTTGAWTCATTACTTTGGAGATTGCACCATTGCCTTTGGCAATAATCCACGGCAAATTTCATAAAGATATCTTGGCAAATGAAAAAGCTTTCCGTATAAGCCCTTTATTCCGATCGTTCATGTTKCATGGCAGCTATATGCTATATTGATCCGATATCTACCTTTCCGACAAATGAGCAGCTCCATGGGGAGAAAAGAATATTTGAAAAATTTCATATCGATTTCTCAAAAACTGAGGCATTAGTTCGTATATAATTCAGGCAGACAGACAGAAGAACATAGCTTAATCGGCTCACCTTGCCAAGCTGATTTTTTTTATATAATATTTTTTCAATTTTCGGTCTACCTATAATACGTATGTATATTTTCAAAGGGATTTCATAGTACTTTTTATATATTAACTACTTTTATTTACAGTCATGTGAAAAATAATAGGCACACATGGCGGTATTTCGTAAAAATGCAAAGAAAAAGAATATTTTCATTAAGTTTGAAAGAGTCAATTAATTTTTGGCACATGGCCCGGGGAATAGCTTTCCTCGCTTCCAAAGTGCATCTTTGTTGCTTTTTTACCCTTCAAAGCTACTTTCACTTGTTGCCACAAGTTCCCAATGGGATTTAAGTCCGAGGACCATTTTTTGCTACCCATCACACCCATCGAAGGGGAATGTTTTCCTCAGCATAAGGCAGCATAACCTCATTTAATATATTGCAATAAGAGAAGCATCCCCACACCATAATTGATACTCCTCCATGTTTTACAGTTTTAACTGTATATTGCGGGTTAAAAGCTGTGTTCACTGGCCTGCGCACATGTTGAGTACCGCAGTCTGGGTGAAAAAGATTGCATTTGGTCTCATCTGACCACAGGATAGTGCGCCATTTCTCCACTGGACACTTGACGTGCTCATTAGCAAAATGTAACCTTTTAATCACATTTGGTTTGGACAGAAAAGGTACTTTTCTGGGTATSTTTGCTTTTAAATTTTTATTAATTAGCCATTTACGAATGGTAGAAGTGTCGAAGTCCAAAGAAAATTCCTTTTTAAGTTCACTAGAGGATGCAAAGGAGTCCTTTTTTAAAATTTATATTGCTTTCCAGAGTTGGAGATATTTTTGATTTTCGTCCACGCATTTCTTTCTGAGGCTTATATTTTATTGCATTTTCTACCATTCTCTTGGAGTAATTCAACGTTTCGGCTATTTTCCGGCATGAAAATCCCTGATTGTGGAGGWATTTTATTTGCTTACGCAACTCAGCGCTGCAGTGTTGTCCTCTGCCCATTTTAAATTACTAAATTAAATTWWATGTTAACTTTCTCAATTAATGATTATATAAAATCTCATATACAATACCTTTATTGCTTAAAAATTTTTAAGAATCCCAATATTTCAAGACTAACACCAATTTAATATTCCCGTCCCTATTATTTCGCACATTCAGCCGAAAGCCTTTGATGCTAGCGCTGCGTACTTTAGTTTATTTAATAATTTGTTTATTATGTAAGCTTTAATAAAAAAAAAAAAAAAATAAAATAAAAAAATTTCGCACACTCAAAAACGATCTTACTTCACAAAATGATCAACAGCTGCGGAACGACGCCAAATATTTTTTCTTTAATAACGGTTCTTTACTTCACTGACATCCCAGCAAACAATTGCATGTTACATTTTTGATAATTTTTTTAAAATGAATCAGATTTTATTTTTTACCTATTTTCAAGCAAGTGTCCCTATTATTTTTCACATGACTGTATATTAAATTCCTCATAAGCGGACACCCTCCGTCGCAGTGTTTGTGTACGCCTATAGAGGCAAAAACTTGTGTTTAAAATTTATTCTTAGGGTCCCAGAAGATGTAATTTATTAAATGTTGCATATTTTATAACATTATTTGGATAATGGATTATATGGTATGTGCACCATTTTCTGATAGATTTTATGAAACTTGTCCGTTTATCAGCGAAATATTACCAAAATATTGTTCTTTCACTGGAATGTCCTCATGTCCAGTTATARGAATTGATTTTGTATGAATTTTAAAGAAAATATTGTGTTTATGAAATTTGTCCGGCTATGGGAGTCGTCCGCTGATAGTGAAAAAGTTAATTTTTAAATTAATTTAATAAAAGTATTCAAAAGCATTTTTTTCACACGCAAATATCTTTAAGTTTTCATTCACACGACAGAAAACCTCGTTTTTATACCGACCTCCGCATATTTCCAAGCATATGTATGTATGTAAGCAMATATGGTATATCTGTTTATCTACATGTGTGTATGTATGTTATTACATTCACCTATATAATACAGTACAAGTAGTAAGTAGATATGACGTTATAAAGAAATATCCCTTTCACAAAAATTCGCTTACGCTTACTGCTATCTTAATGCATACATACGAACATACAACCATATGAACATACGTATGTAATTACAAAAAGCATGAAATAAAGTTGTATAGACTGGTGTGGAGAGCGACCACTCCGTGTGATATGCGCCAACATGCAGAATTCACCTTTTCCGTGCCATTTTAAGCACGCATACATGCAAACAATTTGACATGCAGGTAGACATACATATGTATGTATGTGCATGCATACTTAAGTATAAATCATAATTATTAAAAGTTAAGAAAAATATTATTGCTTGTTGCAATTCAACAAGCAGATATAATGAAGTCATATTCACTGTGTTACTTTTCAGCATAAATGTTGCAGTTGTTGTTTGTTTGAAGAAAATGCTAAATAAAATAACAGTTAACTAAGGTAAGTGCGTATGTACAACATAAATAAAAAAATAATACCTAGATTCACGTACGTAACYGCGATACAATTGTATGGGGCCACATGCACACACACATATATACCGAAAAAGCAGTAAATTTAAACAAAAAAAAAAACATGTATTAGAGTTTCAATAAATAAAAGGGGAAATGAAAATCATAGTAAATTTTCAATATATTTCTCCTTGTACAATACATATACAAGCATACACACGAATATACATACATACTTACAAACATACATGCATACACATAAACACACAGTCAAGCATACAAAATACACTCCCTTTCACAAAAAGCTCCAGCGCCAGTTGTTTAGTCGTTTGTTGCTTGCTATATGTAGCGCTGCTGCCAGTTTATGAAACTTTTTAAAGCTTCTTACTGACCTAAAAAATATGTGTATGCGTGAGAGATAATGGCAATGTGTTGAAGTGAAAACGCTGCAAGCCAGCAACTAAGCAAACAGCAGCCGCGTTTTTATTTTTGTTGTTGCTACATATAGTTGCTTTTTTAATGTGTTTTTGTGTTTTTATTGCTTTTTTTATTTCAACTCGTCCAACGATCAGCCAGCTAGCCAACCGACCAACTAACCAACCGACGACAACGACTTACAGGCGAGCGACCACTTCAATGACTTTTTCCGCCGCGCACGAAATTCAACATTTTCCACACCAGCGCGATCACTTTCGAGTTTCGAGTTTTTACCAAATGGCAGCGTATAAAGTCGTAGCAAAAGCTAAAGCGCGAGATTGCATTAGTTGCAAAAACAAAATACACAGACACACGCACACATGCAGATTTTTACTCAGAAACATTCATCATCTATGCGTGTAGTGGTAAATATTTTATTTTTTGTAGTTGTTGTATCGTTTTTTATTTTGTTTTTTGTTTCAAATCAACTTGCAGCGTATTGTTTAATCTCTTTAAAAAATCAAGAAGCCTTCAAGCTCTTGCATATACGAATAGTCATAAATATGTATGTATGTATGTAGTTTTATTTACTTTTATATACTTATGCATGTATATATGTAAAAAATATATACATGTGTACATAGTATATATTTAAATGAAATCCATTCACCATAGTTAATAAAACAGCTCAACTCCTTCACAAACAACACARGCCGAGCACAGCGAACATACACACGCACATGCATACAAATGGCATACATAGAGAGGAGAGCACAGTGCGCACATAGTGAAAACACTTTTGTCTTTTCGTTTAAATTTTTATTGTATTGTTTTTRTATTATTTCGTATTTCGTAGATTTTGTTTTTAACATTGTTTTTGTGGTTGTTGAATTTGTTTTAGCCACTAACTACAGCATTTCTTATGCATAGTTAACTAACAAAACGGGCAAATGAGCCAAAGCTGAGACACAWTAGCATTAAACGTTGGTCATATTGGCTACGGCTAGAGCTACATACATATGTATGTATGTATTTACTATTAGTACGGYTTTGGCTAAGTATAAATCGACAACGACGTTAAAAATGTGTAAATTGTTGGAAATATGCTTGGCTTGAAGGTCATACACACGTACAAGCCTTTCTAATACATTAATGGCCATTATTATTGTAGAGCGTAATTTCTAGGCGTCTTTGACTCGAACTCTCGGATCATAAATAACAACGAAATATAATAAACACGCATGCATACACACACATATTTACATATGTACAGAACTACATAATGAGACTGGTCATGTTTTTACCGTTTCTTACTTTACTTTTGCATAATGTTATATGAATGCTTGCAAAGCGTGTATGCAGCATGCTGTTATGTATGTGTGTATGATTTTTTTTATCGTATATGCATGTACATTTTGTGTATCCATGTATTCGTGAAAAAATATAAATGTTTATTGTAATATTTAAATATTAATAAATTCGTAAATAATGTTTACCTGTCGCATTAAGTGGCAATTGCAATACTTTAATCCAAAACAGTGTTATAAACTTTTGGTGTACAACAAAAAATGTATGTATGTGCACATACAATATACACACATGTACATATGTATGTATTTATTTATGCATATACATATGTTATATCTATATTTTATTATATGTATATACGAATAGCTGTACACATATTACTATTTAGTGCACACTTAACACAGTTCCATAAATTTTCATTGGGCACACACGTTGCATGGATGCTTGTATCTACACTTTTAATGCACTGCAACTTTCTTGAAACTTTTTTGTTTTTTGTGAAAACTTTATGTTATGTTTTTCGCTTTTTTTGTTTTTATTTTTATTATTATTTTAATTTTTTTGTTTCTAATTTAGCTGATATTTATGTGGAACAAAGCGCGTATTGGCGTAGAACAGTACAAAAAAAAAGTATATTTATATAAAAACAAAAACAGTTTGTTTACTCCGTTTGCGCAATGTTCATGTACGTGATATTCTCTTGTTATATTTTTGTTATAATTAATATTATTGTTGTTGTTGCTGTAAAATTAGTATTATTTTCTCTTTGCTTAAAGCAATATTGTTGCAATAGTGTTATTACGAAATAATACAAAAATTAAACTTAAATAAATCCGACGACTGCAGAGTGAATCTCTCAGATGTGTTTTACTAACTATCATTTCACGTACTGAGTACACATTTCCAACATATTACTAAATGTGGTCGATAGACACAAACTTATCACCCATTCATACATACATATTTACCTACTCAAACTTTACGAATACTTATATATAGATATGTATATAATTGTATACATATATACCGAACCGTTGCAGTAGACCGTCCCTTTCACTTGCTTGCAATTTTCATATATAGTTGGTCTTAATGTATCTCTTTCCTACCATTCTTTAACGATCGCATACAGTGTGTTTTTCTGCGATCGAGAATTTCAACATATTTGTTGTGCTTTTACACTTTTATAAGTACGAGGTAAAAGCTTTGCACCAACTAAATACTATCAACGTGCTGTCATGCTCTGTATTGGTGTGTGTGTGTGTGTTTTCTTCGTATTGGCCTCGACAGCAAACGCCACAAGCAACTGGGTAACAAGTCAAAACACACCACAATAGAGCTTTATTAGCTTTTCATATTTTCACCACATTTTAATAGCTACCATGCGTGGGTATTTCAGAGTATTTCAGCGTAAACTCGAAAGGCTACGTCTATGTGTTTGTTGGTGAGGGTTGCAATGGTTTACAGTAAGAAAGTGAAACTTTTAACGGCCTACATACGATGTACAAACATACATATATGTTAGGCTAGGTTATATATGTAGATATATACATATAACTTGTTGTATATATACATACATTGAAGTTGCACGTAACATTGCCATTATAGCCGTTATACACCGCTGTGTGACTTCTTTCTGGTGGTAACACTAGTGAAATAATTTGTCAAAGCGACAAGATATTTTTTGTAAAATCTTGCAGTTTTAGCAGGGTTTGGATGTGGTAGCTTTGTGAAATGAAATTTATTTTTGAAATTGTCGTGTATTTTTGAACGTCGAATCTTCAGGATCACACACTGTAATGCATTTAAAGTAAACTATTCGGTTTTGGCTTCTTCACAATTGCACTCAGTTTCTTCCGTGGATCCGCCCCAGCCTGCATATCGTACACAAAATTTAGTTGTAACAGCTGAAGGATCCATCAAACCAATTCTTTAACCTCATTTATAATCTTGTACAGCCAAAAAGACCAACTCTTCCAAATCTAAACGGCTTAAACGTGTTCATGCGCAAGCACCTAGACTGGACGGTAGTAAATTTAATCCCACGAATGGTCTTCAAATAGTCCCATTCTTCACATACTAGGTATGTGGAATATCCGAAGAGTGGCCCACTACTGAAACTTGCCTTTCCCAAGTAGTGAAGCTAATTGTTACACCCGACCTAAACAAACCTTTAGAGCCAACACAGTTTTTGTTAAATGGACAGTACCACCACAGGACTTAGCATTAAATGCCAAGATCCGTGGCCTCATTGAAAAATTCACCAGTGTGAGAAGAAGTCTAGCAGCATAAGACTTGTCAAAAGTTTCTGATACCGGATACTGTAATAGCTTAAAATCCTACATATTCAGAATACATAGATCCTGACATACTAAACATACATACATACATATGTATGTTCAAGTCACGACAACAAATCATAGGATGCCATAGTAGCATCACATATCACTACCAACTGGTGGCCCTCTGCACCGTGCCAGGCACTTTCTTAATTTTTCAAGTCACGACAACAAATCACAGGATGCCATAGTAGCATCACATATCACTACCAACCGGTGGCCCTCTGCACCGTGGCAGACACTTTCTTATATACACACGGCGGCCGAGTAAAAAAGGATGCCATAGTAGCATCAAACATCACCAATTGGAGGCCCGTGGGCAGACACTTTATTATATATACACTTTCTTATATATGTATATCCCGAGGGAAGCTGGCTGTGATTTAACAGTCATAATGTTAACTCACGGGAAGCTAGCTATTAGCTGCTTCTATAAAAGAAAT